GGCAGAGCATCTGGTGGATTTGAACCATGCACCTCTGGGACTGCAGTGCAGCTTCTTGCCACTAGGCCACCAGAGCTCCCCAAGATTCTACTCTTTATGAGAGCAGATCACCAGATCTTTCACCTGTGGAGTTGTTGAGTAAATCTGAACCACCAACATTTTGATCAACAGCTGAATGCTTAAACCCTGAGCCATGAGGGCTCATCAGGAATGGTTCCATAGAATGACTCTCTGCTATTTTCCAACTCTCCGTGGCCCAGCAGAAGGTTGGGGTTTTCAAGCAAACAAAGGTTCTAAGTTGGTTTTGTCTATGCTATGTTTAATCACAACAACAGTATGTACTGCAGTAGGTGCTTAGTGCAGTTCTAGATGCTGGGAGTGCATTGATAAGCACAGTCTCTGCACACCTGTATTTTACACACAGGCTGGGAAAACATATTCTCACAACTCATTCAATAGAGAGAGATGTAAGTGTAACCAAGTCCCAGATGATCGGAGAACACTCTGAGCAGAAAGAAGTGTAGGGTGCTTAGACTGAGAGAATGTTTCCTTGGGGGAAAAAATGGATTTCAATTAATAGAAAGAACTTGACAAAAAAGTATGGAGGCAGAAAGGAGGGAGGGAATAGAATGAACTTTAATTAATGGGTGTTGTTTTAAAAAATGAAGGGAATATTGGAACATGGATAGGATTTGGGTCTTCCTTGGGAAAATTTTAAAAAGGAATTCTTTTAAAAAAAAAAGAGCAACACAATCAAAGCTGACTTTTATCCCTGTGGATTTGATAGAGGGGAGGATTGGTAGACTGAAGGGGAGTAAGGGGGTATGAAGATGATGATGGTGGGTCCATAGTGGAATTCTCACCTTCACAAGGGTCAATATGCCTCATTCACAACCCCCACCCTGTCTCTGTGATGCAGAACAAATTTCAGTTGAGCTTCCAAGCTTGGACCTGACAATCTATTTCAAGGGAAATTCTCTGGATCCCAACAGTGTGATTCCCTTGTGCAAAGGGTTGCCACGAGTTGGGCAACTTAATGGTGGCTCATGATAGCAGCCCCCGAGCTCTGTAAGAGGAACAGTTAAGGGATTTCTTCAATGGTCCAGGCAGGGATGTCCACTTTTGCCGAGAACATAGAAAACTGGAGGGAGTTTCATGGCTGTCCTAATAAGCAGAAAAGGTCAGATAAATTCCAGGATCTTTTTTTTTTTTTGCAGTAACCCCATTCCAAAGAAGGCTAAGCCTCTAAGTGATGGGAGTGTGGCCTGGCAATGCATGGGAGGATAGGGTGGCTGCGGTATATACAGATAGAATAAGCTATAATTTTAAATGATTGGCGACCACGTGTGAGATGGTGACTCAGATTAGAATAACCTGAATCTTCAAACACTGAGGGAACTCATAGTGGCTTGAAGGTTCTTTCCATTGGCCTCCAGTAAGGGCTCGTGAGAAAGGAGGAAGGCAGGAGGCCAGAGAGAGCAGAATAGGACCTAAACAAGGGCTAAGTGCTTACTGCTAACCAAAAGGTTGGCAGTTCAAATCTATCTAGAAGGTCCAAAGGAAGAAGACCTGACAATTTGCTCCTAAATTTAATGACTAAAAAGGTCATTGCCATCAAGTCAGAACTGACTCACAACTGACGGTCCATTGTGTTTCCAAGGCTGTAAATTGCTCAGGAAGAGACTGTCCGTCTTCTCCCTCAGCGCTGTTGGGTTGATCAGAACCACTGGAGAGGTGTAATTTTTTGGTTAGCTGTGCAACTCCCTACAGACCACAGCCTAAGAACACCAATGAAGCAGGTACACTCTGTCTCATGGGGTTGCTAGAAGTCGTAATGGACACAACAGGACCCAACAACAACAACATAGACAGGCATGAAACTCTACCCCCAGCGCAGCTTTTTCATACTAAGCAAAAACCATAAGCTGCTGTTGAGGGGCAGCGAACTCTCTCTGGCCATATGATAGTAATATTAACTCTGTTCTTGGAGAAGGCATAGACTATATTCCTGAACCCATAATCTTACACCAAAACCAAGCTGAGGTCAGCTACTACCAGAATATGGGCGGGAAACTTCCACCCACGATTAACCACAGATTCAAAACAAAACTTGATTGCAAAAAGAAGAGGCAGGCCTCCTAAGAAAGTTCCACTGCAAAGCAATACCTTAGAAAGCTGAATAATGAACAAGGTTGATAGAATTGATGCCTTTGAATTGTGCTGCTAGAGAAGAGTGCTGACTATCCCACGGACTGCCAGAAGAACAAACAGATATGTCTTGGGAAAAGTGCAGGTAGAGTGCTCCTTGGAGGCAAAGAAGCTTTCATACTTTGGACATATACCTAGGTGGGGCAATTCCTTGGAAAAAGGAAAGATGGAGAATCAGTGAAGGAAGATCTCCAATGAGATGGACTGACAGTGACTTCAGCAATACGTTCTAGTATGTCAGCGATGGAAGAAGGTGCAGGCAAGGCAGCTATCAGGTCAGCAGTTCATACAGTTGTTATGAGTCGTATTTGACTTGACGGCACCTGACAACAATAGCACCAACCACTCAGTTCAACCCCAGACTTAACACAGAATTCAAATGACTTAATAATACTAAAGATCTGAAGGGGTATGGTTATATATAAAGTTTTAAAAATTGTTTACATCAGTCTTTACAGTTTTATCCATAACTGACTTTCAATCAAAAGCTTACAGACACACAAGGATGCAAGAAATAAGAATAATCTAAAAAACCGTATTTTAAAGAGAAAAACAATCAGATTAATTAGATGCAGATATACCTCAAATGAACTTTCAGCACAAGAACTTTTAACTATGATGCTTTGCTGTAGGATTTAGTAGGTAAAATTGTACAGTATTATGACCAAATGAAGAATTTGAGTAGAAAGGTGAAAACCAAAAGTGTTAAATAGACTAGATATTAGAAGAGCAACAGAAATAAAGAAAACTTTGATAAGCTTCCAACAGTAGACATAACACAGAGGAAAAGTCAGTGAACCTGAAGAAAGTCAATAGAAATTATTTAGACACACAAAGTGGGAAAATAAGTTTAAAAAAAAGCCACAAGAAAAGAGAACAAAGCACCCAAGATCTGTGGAATTATTATCAAATAACCTGACAACAATCTGAACCCTGGAGGGAGAAGAGAGCAGTGCCCTTTTCCAGATGATGGAGGACAGCTCCTGACAGTCAGGAGAGATCTGTTTCTGGCACTTTCTACCTGTTACAAACACTTTCTTTAGCTTCAAGGTCTGTGCCTTCTGGTAGGAAATAAGCAAGCAAGAGACGAGAGGTGCCCTAAGTCTGATCTTATTTATATTGGAAAACTCTGAAAGCTAAGGAAGGGAAAAGATAAAATATTGAGAAAGAAAACAGGGAAGATGAAAAACAGGAGAAGAATTTAAAAAGCAGGCTTTTAAAGATGTTTGCTTGGAATATGGAGAGACAACACGAGGCGTTGGGAGTATCTGTTGCAGTTTGGCTCAGAAAACGACAATGTTAATATGGTCTGTATTCTATGGGTAGAATAGTCTGTTGATTGATTTATTTGTTTGGGTGGTTTTGAGGAAGTTTTATTTTGGTTAATTTTTGGTGTTTTTTTGTTTGTTTGTTTTAAGAGCATTCAGGGGGGAGAAAAGCATTTGTTACATTGAATTTTGAAAAAAATATTTGCTTTTAGTTGTATGTGCCAAACCCTCTACTATGTATGCTTTCTTACATTTGAGGGCATTATGACTGTTACCTCCTTTGATAGAAGAAACAGAAACTGTTGAAGAAAGCTGCTCAAGATCCCCCTACCAGCTTGCTGAAAGTATAGAGGGTTTTCATTCTAGGAATTGCACATGTTAATAGTGTGCAAACTTTAGTTCTTTAAAAACAAAACAAAAAAACCCTCCTTTCACATAAATTATCCTATTGAATGTCTATAGTGACTT